TTTTTGAAGGCTAGACTGCCAGTTAAGTAAAGAAAACTGAACTGTTTCCTCCATTTCCCAGCTACTTTCTGCTTCTGCCACTGCTACTAAATACACTACACATTTTAATGTAGAGTACTTAAATTATGGTTTGCTATATAATCATTTGTGTGGCACACAGAGTATTTTACTGCATTGTGGTCAACATGTGGCCCCCAACATCTTTTCTGTGGCAACCCATTATGCAATTAATTAAATATAATTGTCATTTAGAGGGCCAGCATGGTATAGTAGATAAAAGGATAGACTTGGCCATGGAAAAATCACTGGGGTGTGTGTGTGGCAGTGACAAAAGCCATTCCATAAATATCTATTAGGGTTACTATAAGTCAGGATTTTGGAGATCTAGGCTCAAATCTCAACTTGGCCATGGAAAAAAATCACTGGGGTGTGTGTGTGGCAATGACAAAAGCCATTCCATAAATATCTACTAGGGTTACTATAAGTTGGATGCAACTTGTAATGGCATATAGCACTAAAAGTTCTTAATTAGTTTTTTTAAGCCTCTAGTTCTTAGTGGGTTTGGAAGCACATGAGGAAATAATCTTTAATGAAATTAAATTACTCTTTTATAGTAATAATTACTTGTGTTTCAGTTGAGCTGTGGTGTTTCTCAACTAGTATTTCAGTATCTTTTAGTATCATAACTTTTAAAATAATATATAAAAATATACACTTGTGAATATAACTCTCTCTCTTTCCTAGTTTTCCTTATGCCACTTCTTTCTGAGTGTGCATTACTAAACCAGTTGGCTGATGGTAGAAGTGGCCCCAGTCCCACAGAGGTTGCCAACTTTTACCTTTTCAGCTGATCTGCTTGAGAACCTGTGTGGTGTAGTGGGTAGAGTGTTTGATTACTCGTAGAACTTATGAGACCTGGGTTCAAGTTCTGACGACCATGGAAACACACTGGCGATGATGGTGCTAAACACTATGTCGGGTTGCCAAGAGTCAGAAGGGACTTGACAGCACATAATAACAGGCAGAGAGCGATAATGGAGACCCACAGGCTCCCCTGGGTGGTTTGTTTTTCTTTTTCTTACGTTGCTTGTGTTTGCCTTTCGGCTTGTTTTCTTCTTCTTTAAATGAGCCAGGACTGCCCTTGGCAAAGAGAAGCATATTTCATTCTTCTTGTAGTGAATGCCGAAACAAGGCATCGCTGCAGATATTAAATGACTCCTGTATCATACAATTCTTTATATTTGCTGTTCACTGTTTCACTATCTTAATTATGACCTTGCTTATTCTGTTTTAAAATATTTGCCTGCAAATAACCATCAATGGAACCGCTCATGCTTTCAAAGTTTAAACCTTTGGACTTGTAATGAGTGGTAATGAAGCAGTGCCTTTTTTTCCCATAGCTTTGCCTTGAAGGAGGGGGTATGAATATAAGTTACATTGGTCATGGCTGTCAAGAGCACTTTGGGTTGTAGCCGGCTGGCTGCTGCCTCCGGAGCCAGAAGGCTTTGCTTCGGCTGCCAGCGCCTCAACAACTGCCATTTATGTCACCAGCGCCACCTTTACAGGGTGTTGGGTAGTTGCCTTAGAAGATGGCAGCAAATCCTCAGATAATGCCAGCAGGCACCCTCCACGTTGTGTGACTTTGAATCGTGCAGGGGTTGGCTCTCTGACTTGGGTCATAAATTGTGTCTGTTTGCCCGGGGAACAGAGGGTCACTCCACTATGAAATGAGACTGCACGGCATTCTCTGCTGAACACAGGCTCCCCTCAGAGCACAGCAAACAGTTGGTTGTTCAGTGGTTTAATGGCTCCTTTGCGTGCGCCTTGTAACCCATTCTGCCACTGATGAAACTGCCAGTTTGAGAGCTTGTGTAGCCATCTTAGCTGCTGGATCCATGGCCACTCCCAGAGCCTCTACGGAGAGAGAACAGGCTTTTTTAAATGAACGGGGGGGAAATGGGCATTGGTAGCAAGAAGGAAAGAGCTATTGATTCCTGCAAAAAATTGCCTGTGGTTGTGGAGGTCTCTGAAGGAATTACAAAAGATTTGACAAAGGGCAGGGGCTTGGTCACCTCTCTTGCCCACCATTTTGAAAGCTGCCCTGGCAGCCATCATTTTGAGAGCAGCATGTCCTGCTCAGTTGCAACCCCCTCAGTTCCTCTCACGTTCTGTGGCGCTTCGTAACTATGTATCACACAATGGTCTTGTTACATTCACTACAGGCATGGTTTCTCAGAAACTCAGTCCCCCAAGATATAAGACAGCAAGTTTAATTGTGGAAGTGCTATGGAAGTCGGTACCTCAGCCATCTCTCTCTCTCTCTTCAGTGGAGAAAGCCCCTCATTTGAAGTTCTTTGTTATTAGCCACTCCATGAAAACAAGACCTGATGAAAGGGCTCGGCATCCTGGAAGGGCACCCCAGGAATTGGACGGAGGGTTCCTTTCGTTTTTAGCAGAAAAAGTAAAGTCCACATTTGTGTGGAGGAAGAACTAGGGAACCCTCTCGTCTCTATTTCTGATCCGTCGGCCCAAAATGTTCCCACAAGTTTGGAAGCTGTAAGGAACCCTGATCAAAATTTGGCAATAGGTCTGCGATAGACCACATGTTGGTACAGATTAAAGGGAGAGTTCCTCACAATATGAAAGGTATACTGCACTAGGCCTCCTCAGAAAGACAATGAGCTCTAGCAATTCCTATTGGTGGCATCTCTATTTTGACGGGGAAAGTGAAATACTGCAGAAGCTTCTTCAGGGGAGCATTTTATATATCTTCTCCCTAAGAAGCATAAAAGATGTCAAGCTGCCTGGGCAGCCACAAGAGAATTTGCTTTTGCCCCTATGGATAGCTGGTTCCTGGCAATGCAGTTGATGTAATCATCATCATCATCCTAGAACTGCAAAGCTAGAAGAGAGCCTATGGATCCTTTAGTCCAGCTCCTGTCAAGGACCAATTGAAAATCAAAATCTCAATGTCTGGGTACTTTCCTATTCCTAAGAAACTCCTGAAACTTGCACAGTAGCAGCATACACGTAGTTCCCTACTTTATGCACATTAGATAACATTTCTGCCCTTGGTTATGGTTTCGAGATAGTTCAGTAGCAAAAATTGCTTGTATGGGGCAGCCAGCATGATAATCAAATCAAAAACTGCTTGGTAATGTCACCAATGTACATGTAATTGTATCTTTTTCTCAAAAAAAGCCTGGGATAGTTAATAATCAAAACATCTGCCAGATTATGGCTAGAATTATGGCTATCTTCTACGAGTTGAAGCGCCATAAAGTTCAAGCTCCATGTCTTAACGGCTGTGTCCAGGACTGAAGTTGTGGAATATCAGAGATGTTTGGCTGCAGTTTTCAACACCCAAATTGATGTTAGTTTTTAAAGCCGAAATCCTCAGAAGGACAGAGTACTTAAAGGTAAAGGTAAAGATTCCCCTTGACAATTTTTGTCCAGTCTTGTTCGACTCTAGGGGGCGGTGCTCATCCCCGTTTCCAAGCCACAGAG